TTGTCGCAAATTATTTTAGTTCAAATTATTAAAGAGCAAAGGAAAATAAACACAAAAGCGGCAGTTAAAAAATTAATAATAAATCAATTTCACCTTACTTCAGTTATTCATTCAAAGATGAAATAAGGATATTTTGGTAAATGAGGGAATAAACTGCTAGTCACTCCATAATTGAGTTTGGCCAAAGTTCAGGTAAAAAAAAAGTAAAAAATTGGACTAATAGGGGCAAACGATAAAGTTTTCAATAATTTTTCTCTTAATTTATCTGCTCGGGCGTAAAAATAAAAATACAAGATGGTTAAAAGAGGAGCGATAATGTGCCAGGAAACTAACTGAAAATTGAATAATAACGATTTTTCTCATCCGACGCTACCTTTCAAAAAAAACAAGCAATAAACCCAAAATAAAAAAGTAATTAAATTATACATTGTGGCTAACAAAGTAATAAATTGGGTAAAATAAGAGGAGTTTTTTTTTCTTTTTCCCCGAGGGAGAGAATTATATCTGCTTTCTCTAAACATCATAACCGCCGCTAAGACCGTCAAAATTGAGGTATGGACCGACCACCAAGAAAAAAAACGAAGAAGGTGATAATGAAAAGGAATATCAGTCCGAAAAAATGCCACTATAATTCCTAATAAATGTAAAAAAAGGATAAGGGAAAGTAAAAATTGCTTTTTGGATAAAAGTAGTTTAGAGTTATTTTTTTTCTTAATTTGATGCATTTTGCCGCTTCTATTTAATAAATTATTTTAACAATTCTAGTCATAAACTTATTACCTGTAAAAATTTATTAAATATGTCAAAAACTTTCTATATTACCACCCCAATTTTTTATCCCAATGACCGTTTGCATCTGGGCCATGCTTATGCTATGGTTTTGGCTGATATCATTGCTCGCTACAAAAAAAGTCAAGGTTATGAAGTTTATTTTCAAACAGGGAGCGACGAACATGGGGAAAAAATTGCTAAAAAAGCTAGTTTGTTAGGGATTTCTCCCCAAGAATTAGTGAATAAAAATGTTTTACTTTTTCAAAAATTATGGAAAGAACTAGGCATTTCCGAGCACATTTTTTATCGCACTTCTTCGCCTAAGCATAAAGAAAAAGTTCAAAAAATTTTTACTGAATTGTTGAATAAAGGTGATATTTATTTAGGTGAATATCAAGGAAAGTATTGCGTGGCTTGTGAGGATTATGTGAGT